ACCTGGGGTAGTCTGTCTGACAACAGAGAGTGGATGAGTTTTCTCTGCCCGTGCTTCCTCTCCAGGCTGAAGAAGAAGCTGGAAGGTGCATCCATCTCTGTGATGTTCTGCATCCGGGGACCTGACCAACGCACCCTGGACTTTTGCGTCCAGCAGGTTTGTTAAAACTAATCTTTTAGATTTGAGGGCTTCAATGTGCTCTCGATTTTCTGTGGTTTCACTGAGGTGCTCTAGTTCCACTATATCAGTCTCCAGATCTTTTATGATCTTGTGATGTTGCGAGTAACATTGAGCGTGTGCTGTTGACACAGCTGTTTTATTTGTACTTTCCCGTGGTCCCACCACTGTTGCAGACATGTAAAATCACCCTTCCTCTGTCTAAAAACCTTCATAAAATAACTCAGAATCTCCTTAAAACTACGGTCATAAGTTAAAACTGAGTTAAAATGCCAGTAGGCGCTCCTAGGTAAAATGTTTCTGATAAAAACCTAAAACCAGCGAATGATCCGTAAAAGCTACTGGTAAAATCTGACAGGCTTTAAACACGTTGAAATGATGTTTAAAACAATAAAACCGGTCAAGGCGAGCCAAAGAAATGCGATTCTCTTTACAGTGGGACCACGTGCACTGTCTGGAGCCTGCGTGCATCCTCCTCCATACATCCACCAGGCCATGAGACGAGAGCAGCTGCCGCAGAGCGCGCTGGGCTGCTGGATGAGGCTCTGCATAATTGCGGTCTAAAAACTCGTTTTCGGTACAATTAAAATCCCCTCCTATAAAAACATGATCCTCAGACCCACAATCTCCCAACCTTTCCCCAATTTTTTCTAAAAAACGTTGTTTCTCTTCATTGGCAGTCGGAGCATAAATATTAATAAAAGTTACATTAAAATGTTCAAACCCGGCTTTGACTAAAAGACACCTTCCCTGAACAATGTATTGCACCTCCTCTATGTGGCTGGGAGTGAAAGCTTTAGAGAAGAGGAGTCCCACTCCTGCACTCTGGGAGGTGCTGTGGCTAAAAATGGCCTCCCCTTCCCACTCCCTGCGCCACTCTGTCTCATTGGATGGATCGCTGTGTATCTCTTGTAAAAATAAAATGTCCATTTTTTTATACTTTATGGTTTGGTAAACCAGTGCGCGCTTCACAGCCTCTCTGGCCCCGTTCAGGTTTAAAGATGCTATTTTAAAAGCATCCATGGTGAGTGAGAGGTTTAAAAGTGTGTACAAAAAGACTATAAGGAATATTAAAATGCTGCTGTTCATCATTTGTTCAGAATTGTTTTCTGACTTTGCTCATTGTTTTCTTTAATCTGAATGTTTCTTGATCTGTAAAACCTGATTCTTCTTTGTGTCTGATGTGATGTCTGGCTGAGAAATAAAACGTTCTCAGTTTAGGAAAATAACTTTCAACTTTAACTCCTCTCAGCCCTTTTCTTTGCTTGAGGAAGGACAGGAAGGATTCTACAGGGTACCGGGGTTCAGTGCAGTCAGCCTGTGAGACAGAGGCTTCACTGAAGTCAGAGCACCAGCCCTCACTGTCACTGCTCTCTGCTCCCTCCTTCATCTCTGCACATATCTTGCTGGCTTGTGCAGCAGCTTCAACAGTTTTTCCGCAGCAGGGGGCGGAGCCGGCCCGGCCCTGTTTGGGCACATTTTAACCACGTGCCCCTCCAGGCCACATCCAAAACATTTCATATTCGCAGAAGTAGCGAATAAAAGATATTCAAAATCATCAAGTTTAACGTGAAAACGCACATTAAACTCTTCTCCCCGTTTGTTTAGGACCATGAACAGTGTTCTCCTGTGAGAGACAACGTGTTTGAGAAGTGGTGATTTACACCCCGTCAACACTTTTTTAATTGGGGACACCACCTTCCCATGTCTGGACAACTCCTTTATCAGAAACTCATCACTAATAAACGGGGGGACGTTGGACAGAGTTATCTTGGTGGCTGCAGCACCAGTGGTGACACCTGTAAAAACCAGTCACCCACTGAGATGCCAGTGGTGATACCTGTAAAAACCAGTCACCCACTGAGATGCCAGTGGTGACGCCTGTAGAAAACAGTCACCCACTGAGATGCCAGTGGTGACGCCTGTAGAAACCAGTCACCCACTGAGATGCCAGTGGTGACTCCTCTAGAAACCAGTCACCCACTGAGATGCCAGTGGTGACACCTCTAGAAACCAGTCACCCACTGAGATGCCAGTGGTGACACCTGTAGAAACCAGTCACCCACTGAGATGCCAGTGGTGACACCTGTAGAAACCAGTCGCCCACTGAGATGCCAGTGGTGACACCTGTAGAAACCAGTCACACACT